GTTTTATAGTACCTAGGCTTCAGATGACATCGTCGAGAAAAATAATCTTTTGGCAATAAAAATTATGGCTAGGAGTTTCAAATACCTATTCGGATAGCGTGTATAACTACTAGCTAAGTTCCTAGCCATGTTAATTACCCTACCCTATAATGGTCACACCTGCACATAAAATAAGTAATATAATATCATAGGTTTTAGGAATAGAAATCACCTAGTCAGCAGCATAAGAGAGATTAGAGAACAACCATATAGTGATTAAAATTTATCACAACAAAAATATGTGAATCATAGGTAGAACTTGGTACTTGATAGGTTGTACATGTACGAATCCGTTAGCAAAGGTGTGCCTTTCCGAATTAGACAAGGTTGTATTGGTAGGAGGGTCAATCAATGATGTCAATTGGTATTCCCTCATATACAATGTACTTAAGCATGTAGGTATACGTAGCTTTTTCCTAATTAAAACACACATTCATACTTTCAATTTATCTTTGTAAAGATTGATATCATTTGAAATTATTCAAAATACGATTTATGAGTCAGTTATTTATCTTATCGTTGCTTACCTAAGTCGCCTTTATCACATTTTCAGATTGCCTGAGTCATATATTTATCAAAGTACTAGCTGACCCAGCAAACTTCCTTTTAAACGTTCCCTGCACTTCCACAAACATTTCAAGACCGTAATTAGCCAAAACGGTTCAGCCGTTCTCAAGATTTAGCGAGACTAACGATTGGAAATTCATTTTTAATATTTCTGTATTTTCATTATACTGTCAAACATCGACAGGCTCGATTTTTCGAAATCCATGCTAGGCTTTTCTGTAACTTTAAATTCGAACTTTTAAAGTGAGCTCGATCGCATTCTCGCCCGTCATTCGTCGAGATTATGCTCACAACCAATGACATGGCGGACTGCGATCGCGTTCACTTGAATGTTTCAGATTGAAAGTTTATTGATTTATTTTTACCTCCGTGCCAAACGATTTAAAATGACCCACGAATCATCGAATATGTTGGGACATAAAAAGAATATTATATTGTCACTACAACCGAGTCTCGCGGCGGCGTCAATTGTCGTCCATCTTGCTGGTGATTATGGGCCCCTGGCATATCTTGAAACTACTTGGGCTATCTCGCAAATACCTAGTTTCTTGAGTAAGCTATAAATACAATTTAATTTATGTTGTTAGTATCTAAAGTTTATTTTTCGTCAATTAGGGCCTATGCACACTACGTTTTTAAAGCGCGCCGTCGACGCGCGTTTGTAGCGATACAGACGCGATACGCACGCAAGTCAGACGCAGTCTGTAGACCTTTGCAGTTTGCACACCGGTATAAATACAAACGCGCGTGTGTAGCGATACAGAAGCGATGCAAATGCGCGTGTGTATCTATACAAACGCACTGGCATTTTACGTTTTTCAGCAGAACCTCGTTAACAGTAGCAAGATGGCGTTTTCTGTGTCGAAAGGCTCCATTTTTTGTTCTAAAGACGTGCGGTGCATCAAATCGCTCGATTGCTACTAGCGTAGATTCACACTTCCTTTTCCCTCGTTGCAGGAGAAACCCCGTCCGTAAGGAAGGCGCGCGCTATACGCGCCGGTGCCGCACGTTTGTATCTATACTAACGAACGACAACAAACTGCTCTGCACGATAAACACGCGCCGACGACGCGCGTTGCCCAAAGACGTGTCGACGGCGCGTTTAAAAAACGTGGTGTGCATAGGCCCTTAAAGGTACCTGAATAGCCATGCACCCACGTAAATAACGACCTGTATTTTTAACCACATCCCCGTAAACCAAAATGTAAGTTTATAAATCTAGATACTCACCTATGTAATTGCTTAGGTATAGGTAAGTAAGTACCTACCTACTTAGGTACTTTTGAAACTTACAGATTTAAATCGCAAATTGCTTATATTTGTATAAAATATGTAATTAGTAATATGTTTATTGATAAGATTAAAAAATGTGTCTATGTATTTAAAACACGTATCTAATTAATATGAATGACTTTGTAGCAGTAGCTACTGTACTAGTAGGTACCTAGGTACCAAATCTACGATAAAATATGATATTGAAAAATATTAGGTAGGACACTATCGGATAGATAAGTTATGTACCTAAGTTTAAAATACTACACTTCCGGACACCTAAATCGAGCCACCTTGATTTTATTGGTTTGGAGTACTGTAACTTGTAAAAAATCTATGTAGCAGGAAAATGTTTTGATGTAGTTTTGGAGCTGGTTTAATCAACATTCATTTAGAGTGCCACTGTTCTAAATTTGAACTACATTTTATTAAAAAAGTCGAGTTACGTTGAAACAAGTCCATATTTGCTTTTTTCAAAGAAAAAAATCTAATCGATTTTAAAATAAAAAAATGTTTTAAATGAGAAGAAATGTTTATTTAGTAACTTGTATTGCCTCCCCGTGCATTTATGACAGCTCTCACGGTTTGGCATAGAAGTAATCAATGTCGTTATGACATGTTGAGGAATGTCCTCCCATTCTTCCAAAATTACATTTTTGAGCTCCTCTGTGGTTTGCGGGGCAGGATGATGAGCTCGAACACGCCTCTTCAGCTCATCCCATAGATGCTCTACAGGATTCATATCAGGACTTCGCGCTGGCCATCTCATAACAGTGATACCAATGTCATTTAAATACTGCCTGACAATTCCCGCAGTATGGGCCCTTGCATTAAAACGAAATCTTGGCCAATAAATCCAGCATATGGCATCACGTGGTTCTCTAAACATTGGCGACTGTATCTATTGCCATCTAGGGGCGGCAGTTGTGGTCCCGTTACTCTACTCAGCTCAGTTTTGCCTTCCATAGAGATTCCTCCCCAGACAGTCCATGATCCTCCACCATAACTCACTCTTTTGTCAATACAACATTGCGCGAAACGCTCGTTCTCCCTTCGGTACACCTTACTCCTTCCGTCATTACCGTATAGCATTATCTTGGACTCATCTGTGAAGAGAACCTGGCTCCATTGATGTCGAGTCCAATTTAGATGTTCGCGCGCAAACTCTAAACGGGCTATTCGGTGTGCTCGTGTCAATTTGGGTCCATTGGCTGGCTTATGGGGCTTTAAACCACGTTCATTGAGTCGCCTTCTAACGGTCCGAGCACTTACAGCCACTCCGTGAAAGTCCCTGAGCTGTTCTTGTATTTGAACAGAGGTAAGGCGTCGATTGCGTAAGCTGGTAGTGACAATTAGGGCATGCAAAACCGGAAATCGGCCCAAATTTAAAGATTTTTAAAAACCGGTTTTGAGAGCCAAAACCGGAGCTCAGCTCAGGTTTTTCCCGATATTGAGTAACAAATAGTCCGGAAGTGTATATTACGTAGGTATACCTACCGATCAAGTCTAGACAAGCCATTGGTGTTAAGTTTAGTACGTACCTAATTTCGTAATTAGGTAACCATGTGAAATGCCAAACGTGGGCATAGGTAATGGCAACCTTAAGGCCTGGCGTCCAATATCGGCATCGGCAAGGAAAAGGATTCTTCGGCATCTTACTTGCAAGCGCACAGTGTCGGAAACGATGCTTTAGCATGCTGGAACGTTACGAAGTATGCCGCACTATCCTGAAGTATGCCGCACCGTCCTGAAGTATGCCGCACTATCCTAAAGTATGCCGCACTATCCTAAAGTATGCCGCACTATCCTTAAGCATGCCGCACCGTCCTGAAGTATGCCGTACTATCCTGAAGCATGCCGCACCGTCCTGAAGTATGCCGTACTATCCTGAAGCATGCCGCACCGTCCTGAAGCATGCCGCACTATCCTGAAGCATGCCGCACCGTCCTGAAGTATGCCGCACCGTCCTGAAGTATGCTGCACCGTCCTGAAGTATGCCGCACTATCCTGAAGCATGCCGCACCGTCCTGAAGCATGCCGCACTATCCTGAAGCATGTCGAAGCGTCTCAGTACCTATCGTATTTCTCGTCATAACAGACTCAGAGTTTTTACAAGCTAGTTTTCTGAGTTGTATTTAATACTAGCTTTTACCCGCGGCTTCACTCGCGTCACAAAAGGATAAAAAGTAGCCTATGTGACTATCCATCCGTTCAACTACCTTCAGTTAAAAAATCACGTTAATTAGTACCTCCGTTCTGCCGTTTAAGACATGCAAACAAACAAATAGCTTTCTGCTCGCGTGCAATTCGGTTATATCGCGCTATTTAGATTTTTCAAATAAGTAGGTAATTCGTTGACTGGTTTTAAATGACATACGACGCCATCTATACAAGTACATACAGCGCCATCTATACCAATATTTTTGTTTTTCTTAGGAAATATCAATTTTTTCCGGGATAAAATGTTAGAAGTCTGGATTACCCCATTATTTAATCCAGTGGTATGGTGGTATCCATTGAAAATGTGCGACAGACCGCTTTAACACCATCGAATATGGTCCGGAGCGGACGAAAGTGACGCTATTCGGTTCTTTTACATTACACAAACAAACTCGAGTTTTGTCCGAGTGCGGTGATCGAGAAAACTGCCTCGTTGGCCGAGTGGTCGCAAGTGCGACCACTCGGCCAGGCAAGGGGTCTCGAGTTCGATTCCCGGGTCGGGCAAAGTATTACTGGGGTTTTAAAAATCTCAGTAGTAGCACGGAGTCTGGAAATGTGCCCGGTGTATGGCAATAGGCTCATCATTACATGGGACTCATAACATAAATAGTACAAAGTTTGTGTCACATTGCACGGTGGCATTAAGTGCCGTAATGTGTACTTCTGCCTACCCCTTCGGGGTAAATAGCGTGATGTTATGTTATGTGTAGTAACAAAAACCTGCAACAAATTGTATAAATGCTCATGAGTTTCAAAAATGTAGTTTCATCTTAGTGACCTATGATATCGCAACTGAATGAAAACAACACTGTTTGGTGTTATCTACACAATATATTTACTTTTACATAATATTACATTAAAAACAACTACATTACAAATATTAAAATAGATCACAATTTAGTTTACTGCCATCTGTAATGTGCATAAGCTCTGTTTGCTTCACATTGTCTATGCAAATCTTGTTTCTTTTTGACAACTTTTCCAGTATTGTTGGCAGCATCAAGGAGCTCCCATGCAAACTGTTTCGGGAAATGCACAGTTCTTTCTTTTTCATAAGTAGCTTCTAATAACCACTTGATTGCCAGGAACAAAGACCTTTTTTCAGTGATGGGCCCTGGAACCTGAGTTAAAAGAAAATGAATCTTAATATCTTGTATGATTAAGACATATATTTTCATATAATAAACAGTCTATCATGGGAAAAATAGAAAATTCTTAGGTCTAAAATAACATCAGTATATAAATCGTATTTTTTTTTTATTTATTTATTTATAAACTATGTACATACTACTATCATAACAGGAACTAATACCTAATGCAATATATTATAATATATACAATTATAAGTAGAATAACTTATCCCTATTGCATTTCACTTTAAACAACAACTAGTTTACCTGGTATGTGATACCTCCTCTCTTGATAGGCTGCAGCTGCAGAAGAGGTTTTGAGTTTGCAATAGCTTGGTGCAGAATTTTCTTTGGGTCTAATTCTATTTTAGCCTTAGCTTCAGGTGTTGTAGCCAAGTGGTAACGTTCAATCTGAGACCTCTTTATATTTTCAAATGCTTTCTCAACCAGATTGCGAGCTAATTGCTTATTTCCCTTCTCCATCACATGATTGATAACTTTGCTGAAATTAAGAATTAGAAATATTATTGAAAATAAATTCTTTTAAAAATGTAATGTAATTTTAGAGTATTTCTTTCATTAAAATACTTTAATGTACTTACTTCACTAATGGATCATGGTATACAGAACTGGTTTCATACACAGCTGGTGGTTTAACGGGTAGGGCTGCTATCTTACTCAGCTCGGAACTCTCAATAAGGTTGGCTTGATCTTCCTTGCGAAATATGGGGTTTTGGAAAAAGTCGGGAAAACTTGTTGGTCTTGAGTATTCCCTGGTTTGCAGAGGTACTGAAATTCTATGAAATTATACATGGGATTAACAGATTAATATCAAAATAATAGTAATGTAGTAATCACACAATTGGAACTGTAGACTAAGTAGAGGGAGACTATAGCATCCAGTCGGGATTTGAATTTTTGACCAGTATATCAGTGTTTTAAAAGTAAAATTCAACTGGATTATAGTACGTTGAGTTTTTATACACCTGTTTACAATAAACTATTACGGTAGCTTTAGGATTAAAATTAAATTTATTTTAACTCTTATACCTAGGCAGGGTGTACGATGGATACCGCAGTATACATTTATTCAAGTTCCTAATGTGATTAGCCATATTTCCTTCTTAGTTATAATGTTTTTTCTGTGAAAATACAACCTTATCCAATAACTAAAACATAACCCTACTTTCCATAGGTTAACATTTGACAGATTACAGAAGTAACAATGAAGGCCAAGTTTTTGAAAGTGACAGAAATAGTTTCGTCACGAAATTTTCTAGTGCACGACAGAAAACTGTAATTTAGCCAAAATGAGCCTATTTTATTTCGAAAGAAAAATCTGACTAATGCTCAAAGCTTATCTGACTTGATACTGCTTTTTTCATACTCAATACATTTTTCACCCCCTATTACATTAGACTCATACATAACTTATTATAGTGAAAAGTAGGTGCCGTTACAAACAGTGTACAGTGGCATTAAGTGCCGTAATCTGTAATATGCACCTCTGCCTATCTCTTCGGGGATAAAAGGCGTGATATTATGAGTATTCTTTTTTTTATTATTTTGGTGAATTGATGATTAAAAGCAAAGGTAGTGGCCTCTGATTTCCTATTTCTCGAGGTTTAGACTATCTTTATTACGTAGACATTGACATACTGTGATGAAATTCAATATATAACAATGGGCCATTCATTATCCTATAATAACTGGCGACAAATGAAACCAGGGAGATGCGCTATTTTTCGGTTAATTGTCGAAATGAATATATGGTATTTTACCATTATTTATCCACATTTTTGGATAACTAGTCGAGTAAAAACGGAAAAAATGTCTTAGCATTTATTCGGTATTAATCCATTTTGCCTCTGCCTTCTGCTTCGGAATACAAAGTGTTTAATAATAAGTATGTCTTCTAAAGAAATTATTAATCCGTCTTGCTTACGCATGTACTGTACAAGTTGGTCGTACCATTAATTTCATTGGCGTGGTCCTATGCCTTCACGGAAAAAAGGTGTGATGTAATTAAAAAAAGTTGTATTAAATAAGTGAACAATCAACATGTTTCTTTGGATCACGATTAGAATCACGTCTCATACCATTACTTATACAGCGATAAATAAATACATATTCTCTCAATGAACATTTTATTAGCAATAAAAATATCACTAAAGTACTTAAGATTAGTATTTAGAGTTATCATATAAAATGAATACTGAAGCTACGAAAATTGTCAATTGTAAGTAAATAATTAAAATAAACCTAATTCATAAAATTTTTACTCAGTCATATAACCAGTATAGTAAAATAGTAACAAAATCTAGGGAAATTAATATACAGAATAAAAATATTATAGCAGTATATTAAAATTTAAAATACTCTGAAATTTTACAAAAGGTAAAATTAACTACATTAATGTATATAAATCTGTATAAAGTTATTGTACATCTCTTTTGTGCTTTTTATTTGGCTTGGATTGGGCCTCAGGTTGCTTCTGTTCTGATTCTAATAATTTACTTTGCCTTTTAGCATTTTTTCCTGACACACTAATTTCACTTTCAACATTCTTTGCTTTTGTGGAACCAGACTTTCCATTAACTGACTGGTTATGACTGTCACTGACTGTTCCTGGAGAAGCAATCTTGAGCTGATGTTTGCTGGAGTTTATTAATTTAGTATTTTTTAATGTTGAATGTAGAAGGCCATCTCCAATTTGTTTTTGACTGTATGGCTTAGTCTTGTCAAAGTCAACATAGGATACATTAAGTGCAGGTGTTGCCTTCTTCTCCACTTCTTCATCATCATCACCATCAGGACCAAGTTTAACACATCTGAAAATGGCAAAACAAATCAATAAACATGGGTATACACTTAAACAAACAAAAGGAAAACAATCTTTCAGTAAATTGCTTATTGATAATCCTTACTAATATTATAAATCGGAAAGTGAGTTTGTTTGTTTGTTCAGCTTTCACGCCGTAACTACTTAACCGATTGCTTTGAATTTTTGCAGAAGTAAAGTTAGAAGTCCGGATTAAATAATAGGGTACTTTTTATCCGGAAAAAAATTGATATTCCTAAGGGAAAACAAAAGTATTGGTATAGATGGCGCTGTGTGTATTGGTTTATATCACATAGGCTACTTTTATCCTTTTGTGACGCGAGTGAAGCCGCGGGTAAAAGCTAGTACTGTATAAAAAAGACCTAAAAATCTTGGAAGACTACTACTTGCAGTGAAAACATGTGTGCAAAATTGACATGTTTTGACATTTTATTTTTTACTAATAAATGTATAGGACACCCTACATAATTAAGTTGTACATAAATATTGTAGGTACCTCTCATCCAGTTCTCCTCGGATATAAGGCAGCGCTCCATACAAGTCTAAGACTTCTATTCGGAATCTGACCTCTTGTCCTTCCTGGATATTTGAGCCAAGCCACATATTTCCAGGTTCTTCAGTCGGTCTCGGAATAACAACATTGAACACCCTGAAATGGCAAAAAGTTGCATAATGTATTTGTAACATAAACCTCTTCTTCAGTAATTTTAAATTGCACAATATTTATTATCAAAGAGAAATTGACAATTGCACAACAAATAAATTAAAACTGAAAATATTTGAAAAAAGTTAAGAACCATTTAGTAAAAACATTTTCATGTGGTATTTACCTGTGCACAAGGATACCTAAATGTGTGGTACTTTTTTTATTCACAATTCCTGTGAGAGTAGCCCCGACAAATGGCCTGAATATAAAATAGTCTGCTTGCACTTGAAAGTGAATATCTGCATTATCATTTCTGATGGTTCCAACATTCTGAAGGATTCTGAGGTTCTTGTAACTTAATAGAATTCCATTGAATCTGAAAGAATATTTTTGTTTGTGTTGTAGATTTGTATTTACATTTTAGGAATATATTTCATTTTAGTTTTAGAGATTTATAAAATGCATTGGTGACTTACTCTTTGTCAAACTTTCCTATTTTGTAATCCAACAAGTTTTTGATTGATTCCTTAAGGTTTCCTAGACACCAGGGTTGCAGTGCAAGGTTTTGAGTTACTTTTTTTTCAATAATGCAAGAATTTTTATCGTTAGCTAATTTCTTTAATTCTTTGATATCAAATTTTATAATTGTGGACATTGTAGTACCGCATAAATTAATTTCAAATCAATTCAATCAGAGAACCACTAAAGCAAAAAAGCAATAACCAAAACCAGAGTTAGTAAATTTTTGCAAACACTATTTTGACATTCCAAATATTTTTTTGTTTTTTGTTAGATTTCATAGACAATTCGTGTTGCCAACTTGTGGTAGTTTTTTGAACAATGATTTTTGAACGATTTGATTAGTAATAATCACTACTCTCAAAAATGAATAAAAAAAGTACTTACCACTCATTTAGGTATCCTTGTGCACAGGTAAATAGCACATGAAAATGTTTTCACTAACTAAATGGTTCTTAACTTTACTCAAATATTTTCAGTTTTAATTTAGTTGTTGGGCAATTGTCAATTTCTCTTTGATAATAAATATTGTTTGTACAATTTAAAATTACTGAAGAAGAGGTTTATGTTACAAATACATTATTCAACTTTTTGCCATTTCAGGGTGTTCAATGTTATTATGCATAAACGACTGCACGGTTGGTGCGGTGGCTGGGCAACCGGCTGCCGTGCAACGTGTCGCGGGTTCGATTCCCGCACGGGACAACACTTTGTGTGATCCACAAATTGTTGTTTCGGGTCTGGGTGTCTTTGTGTATGTGAACTTGTATGTTTGTAAACGCACCCACGACACAGGAGAAAATCCTAGAGTGGGGCAACGTTTTTTTTTTAAAAAAAAAATAAAAAAAATAAAATTATTCCTAGACCGACAGAAGAACCTTGATATATGGCTCAAATATCCAGGAAGGACAAGAGGTCAGATTTAGAATAGAGGTCTTGAATTGTATGGAGCATTACCTTATATCCAAGGAGAACTGGATGAGAGATACCTACAATATTTATCTACAACTTAATTATGTAGGGTGTCTTAAACATTTATAGGTAAAAAATAAACTGTCAAAACATGTCAATTTTGCACACATGTTTTCACTGCAAGTAGTAGTCTTCCAAGATTTTTAGGTCTTTTTTTATACAGTATTATCAATTAGGAATTTACTTATTGAAAGATTGTTTTCCTTGTGTTTGTTTAAGTGTATACCCATGTTCATTGATTTGTTTTGCCATTTTCAGATGTGTTAAACTTGGTCCTGATGGTGATGATGATGAAGAAGTGGAGAAGAAGGCAACACCTGCACTTAATGTATCCTATGTTGACTTTGACAAGACTAAGCCATACAGTCAAAAACAAATTGGAGATGGCCTTCTACATTCAACATTAAAAAATACTAAATTAATAAACTCCAGCAAACATCAGCTCAAGATTGCTTCTCCAGGAACAGTCAGTGACAGTCATAACCAGTCAGTTAATGGAAGGTCTGGTTCCACAAAAGCAAAGAATGTTGAAAGTGAAATTAGTGTGTCAGAAAAAAAACTAAAAGGCAAAGTAAACTATTAGAATTAGAACAGAAGCAACCTGAGGCCCAATCTAAGCCAAATAAAAAGCACAAAAGAGATGTACAATAACTTTATAGAGATTTTATACATTAATGTAGTTAATTTTACCTTTTGTAAAATTTCAGAGTATTTTAAATTTTAATATACTGCTATAATATCTTTATTCCGTATATTAATTTCCCTAGATTTCGTTACTATTTTACAATACTGGTTATATGACTGAGTAAAAATTTTATGATTTAGGTTTATTTTAATTATTTACTTACAATGGGGTTGGCCGGTCAAAGCTTAGCACAGATGGCGCCAGCATAGCTAGTTCTTTTGTATTGGCGGCCATTCTTCTGTCACATTTTGTTTACAAACTTACGAACTGTTTATTCGCCCTTTTGTGACTTGAAGACTTATTATCGAAACGTCATGTATTCCATCTGGCGGATCAAGGAACTGAAAGATGATAACTCTAAATACTAATCTTAAATACTTTAGTGATATTTTTATTGCTAATAAAATGTTCATTGAGAGAATATGTATTTATTTATCGTTGTATAAGTAGTGGTATGATCTAACGAAACGTGTTGATTGTTCATTTATTTAATACAACTTTTTTGAAATAACATCACACCTTCCTTTTCGTGAAGGAAACTTGTACAGTACATGCGTAAGCAAGACGGATTAATAATTTCTTTAGATGACATACTATTATTACACTTTGTGTTCCGAAGCAGAAGGCAAAGGTCGTTCTTAAGCAAAGTTGCCATTTGTTTGAGTATAAATAAATGCACTATGCCTTTACCACAAAGTATAGATTATGGTATAGATTATAGAGCTTCAGTCGACTGTCAAACATATGCCATCATCGAATTTGTATGTTGTCGATTGGTACGATGCTTACATTCGACAATATATTTACATGGCATATTATGAAAACGTGACCAATCTTTTCCTATTTTAAACATTCAAATGGAGAATTTGGAAGCTGTAAATTGCACCAAAGAATAGTGGAAAACAATATAAATAAAACTTTCGTGTAAGATAAAAATGTCGAAGAATGGCGAGGTGTCATCAAACCAAGGTAATAGCTGATAATTGAAACCGTTGTAAATGGAAACATTTCAATGATTTAGTCGTAAATACTAAATAGAAATCATTAATCCCGTGTAAAAATGTTACAGGCCCGAGTAGACCGACTATGCCGAAGCCTGACTTGAATTTATTTGGTTTGGAGAAGCGCAAAGGTTTGAACCTTCAGATAGCCGGAGGTCCATCGGGGGATGGTGCAGCTTTTATGCCATTTCCTGCAAACCCGCCTCCTGTCCAGAGACCTCGAGTTCCATCTCGTACTATAAGAGATGTATTGCCTGAAAACACAAGGTAAATGTTCATTATTGATTGTTTATTACCTAATAATGCATTGTTTTTGTTGACGATTTTTTTATAGATATCTGATTAATAAAGTCTTACATATACAGCAGATGCTTGTGGTCAGTAATGATATTGGTTCTATGTGGGTATATAGGCTTTAAAATTGATCTACACAAAATAAAATTGAAATGTTTCAGAGACAGATGTAGGATATATCCGTCCATGCAATCGTCAGGCAAATTGCAATTGTCTGCAACAGAGGTCTATGATTTCACATCTGATGATCTGCAGGATCTTGGTGAAATAGGCAGGGGTGCATTTGGAGCTGTAAACAAAATGGTCCATAGAAAGTAAGTGGTTCTTAATTGTCATATATTTTAAAGTATTTTCGTGAATGCTTATCTTTACACTTGAGTCACTATCTCATTTTATTTTTGTTAAGAACTATGACTACCATATCAACTGCACAATCAGCATGTAGCAATAAATTCTTATGAAATGAACCACTATTAAATCCAAACCACAAATTGTCTGCTGATTTGTTTTGTTCTAAAAATATTTGTAGTTTCAAGAGAGTGTATTTAAAAATGTTATCAAATTAATGCTTTGTATAAATTTGGTAAAGGTCTGCCTGAATTTTCATTAAATAAAGTCCTTAGTTATAATTCAGCCACTCCATGATTATTATATTTATTAAAAATGTTAACATTTTATTAGAACAAACCGTGTGATGGCAGTGAAGCGAATCCGCTCCACTGTCGATGAGAAGGAACAGAAGCAACTATTGATGGATCTTGAAGTTGTTATGAAGAGCAATGAATGTGTATACATAGTGCAGTTCTATGGAGCACTATTTAAAGAGGTAAGTCTTCCACTAGACACAAATTCTTATTATCAAAAATAAATATGTATTCTCATAAGTCCCAATCAGAATATTGATTTGATGAGATGATAAATGAATTAATAGATGAAACACTATTTCAGGGAGACTGTTGGATTTGTATGGAGTTAATGGACACTTCATTAGACAAATTTTATAAGTTTATATGTGAAAGGATGCAGACTCGAATACCTGAAAATATTTTAGCTAAAATAACACTTGCAACAGTGAAAGCTTTAAATTATCTAAAAGAAAAATTAAAAATAATTCACAGGTGAGTTTAAGATTTAAAAAATGCTTAATTATGTTCCTTAATAATTCATTTTCAAGGTAGCAAGGGTATGGTCTTACTCTTCAAGGAGGAATATTATGTCTTCTATTTTATTTACATTTATTGTTTCCATAAGCCATGCTGTAACATAGAATGCAAATACATGATTAAAATATTTATTGATCATTTTATCGACAGGGATGTGAAACCATCAAATATTTTATTGGACCGAAGAGGAAATATAAAATTATGTGATTTTGGTATATCTGGCAAGCTAGTGGACTCAATAGCACGCACTCGAGATGCTGGGTGCAGACCGTACATGGCCGTGAGTTCAAATATTAATTAAATATAATATTAAACAATTTGTCCCTACAACATTCCCTCCACTAACACATGCATTTGATGTTTACTAAAAGTTAAGATAAAGATAAACATATAAGAAAAGATGTTATATTTCTCATTGTTATAATAATGCATTTGCATGTCTTTCATCAGCCGGAGCGCATAGATCCTGGACGAGCCCGTGGGTATGATGTGAGGTCAGATGTCTGGTCACTTGGCATTACTCTCATGGAGGTAGCAACCGGCGCCTTTCCTTACCCACGCTGGGGATCTGTGTTTGAACAGCTACAACAGGTTGTACAGGGTGACCCACCGAGGCTAACTAACACTAACAATGCTTTCTCCAACAACTTTGTGAACTTTGTCAATACTTGGTAAGTTAAAATATAATTCAAAATTTAAGAATTGAAGTTCAAATTGCCAATCTACCACATTTTATGTTAATTACAGCCTCATCAAAGAAGAAAATCAGAGACCTAAATACAACAGGTTATTGGAACATCCCTTTATTAAAGGTATTGATCAAAGCAGGGCTGATGTCGCTGCATATGTTTGTGAAATATTAGAAGCCATGGAGCGCAATGGTGTAAGTCCTTTCACAACAGACCAGCCCGCACAGGCATGGGTTGATTAATTAATGATTATCCAAAACTATTGTGTGGGATATTTGCTTGATATAAATTTAATAACACCAATTCACACTTGCAATATTTTACCATACATTTTTATAAATTCAAATTCTGCTCAAGGAATATGTAAAATTCTTTGTTAAGGAGATACTAAATTGTAACAATTCCTACTACACTCGTCAATCCATTTTGCTTTTCTTGGGAAACAATGTTTTTTATCAAAAGGAATGTATAAGAATGTACAATCCTTGAAAATTTTGTGTAACTTGTTCACAAACTCCTAGCTAGAATATTCTTATTTTTATAAATCCTATAACTGAATGTGAAATGTACTATTTCTGGTACTGCAGCCACTATTATCTAATACTATTTTTTCAATGAACTTTCCTTTTCTCAGATCTACGATATAAGGACAGTTTTAAAGAGTTTGTAGTTGTTCTATAAAAAAAACGATTGTTTCAGAAGTTACTAAATCTCATTGAACAGTATTCAATTAGTTGACTTTTATAAATTTAATTTTCAAAGGCTTACTATTTCTATACTTACAGAAATATATTCTGAGAATAACAAACTATAATACACTGCAATGTACTTAACAAAATAAATGAGAGAGAACATGCATTATTCAATATTTACTATAAGAGAGCTTAATTGCTGCCTTATTTAATATTGTTATGTTATATGTAAGTTTACTAGGATTTCTATACAATGTAGTGTCTTCTTAACAAAAAGCTTTAAAAATTTTAAAGTATTAGTCACTTTCAGGTAATTGTTCATTGTGATTTTGTTATTTTAGTCTATACCAAGCCATCACAGGCAAATAGGAGGATTAAAATCTGAATGTGACTAATATAATAGGCACCAAATCAGTTACTGAGTAGTACATTAGGGCAACTAGGAAAATTGTTAATTGATTTATCATAAATAAAATGTGATTGTGTTTTTTTAGAATTGTAACAAACTATGATAATATTAAATTTGAAATTTTGTATAATATAAATATTGTCAATGTCATGAATGCAGAAGCTGTTAACAAAAACCAAGGTGCATTAAGCAGTATTGCGATTAATCATATAAAACTTTGAAGCAGAAATTATCAATAAATTCTTGAGTTAATAATAACACAAGAAGCACCACACAAGTTTTGAACTTTCGTATTCATGGTAGTGACAAACTTCCAAATAAACATTCTTTATTGTACTTAGGTACACACGTTCACTTAATGCAAGGGCACATCACGTAAGGACGGCCGATTAGTTACAACATGTGTGTTATTATATATTTCCTTTTGTTTGCAATATTGAACAATTTATTTAGCAAGCCATAATGTTAGAGTTATTTAAACCTGAATAGCCGATTTAGGTACAAATGTAATGCGGGATGTTGGTGGTGACAATAATTTCTCCAGATAATTTTACAGATGATAATAGTATGTAGATAAGAGATAAAACTTGATAGGAATTCAAGTTTCATAACTTTAGTACTTACTGATTTCATATATAAAGCAAGTTTATGTAATTTACATCTACTTATTGCCACTAACAGAAATCTGCTTCGCTGCATTTAAGCTTTTATGTTAAACTCAGAAGCAAGAGTAATACATAAAATAAACTACACATATTAAGACAAATAATATGGTGATTTATTACATGTTATACATGTATTTGCTTATTGTTTCTCTGCATTTTCAAGTCAGTAAGATTTTAAATTGAATATTAGTACAGCTTAATTCCTATAAATGTATTCGTTTTACTACTGGCAACTAAATATAGGCAAATGGAAAAAATCTGTCATAATGCTAAGCCAATCTTTGGCTACTTTATCAAGCAGTGGAAACTGATTATTAATGACATTGGTTTAAAGTTCATGTTCAATCTTAATTTGCTAACATTTTACCAAGTTAGTTGTTTTATTGTTATGAATTATTTAAATGTTCAAGAAATCAAACTTTTCTGGCTTAGATAACTGTTAAAATTTTGTACAACAATTTCAATATACTTCTTTGGCTGGCTGACTAAAATGTTTGGGTTAGGAAATGAATTACATGTAAGTGATTTTATAAATTTGTATATACCAACTAAATAATTATTATAAATTTTATGATTGTATGTTATTGTTAACCATAGTTGGGTCAGATATTGCCTTCAGGTTTGATAAATAATTATGTTTCATCATAAGTTGTTGCTTTTCTGCTTGATAATAATTTATGCTTCATCTCTCGAGTTGAAATCAAAATTTTTTACTTTGACTGCCAAAAATCAATGGCTTGTGTTATTTTCGTTTAATTCATGGTAAGCTGTCTACCCCTTAGCATTGAATAATGATTTTATTCACTATGTTAGGTACACATGAATGAGAATTGTTTTAAAATTATAGATAAAAAGTCACTTGCAAATTGTTTTAACAGTGTATTTAATCTAAATTCACCTATTTATAAGATGTGGTTCTCAATACTACTGTATGTTTAAGAAGTAGATTGGTAACAGTATGACTCTGTAGTTTTATTTTAGTGAATATGTTATTCTAACACTTCACCTATTCTTTTAGCATTTAAAACATTTCCAAACTTTAGAAACAATTTGTATTGTGTTCCATCTGATAATTGTGGTGTTAGATATAAAGCATCCATTGTTTTTGGCCGAATATCAAGTAATGGACACCAATCGTCTATTTTCACTATTCTATCTTTTCTCTTTCCCCAGAAGTCCACTGAAGATATTTTGAGTTTCTGATTATCTACTCTTATATATAAATATCCAATGATGTTCTTGAATGGTAAACTAGCTAGTGAAAGAACTGCTGTTCCAGTGATTCCTGAAACAGAGGAAAATGAATAAATACCTATCTATTTATTTAGTTCAAATGGAAAGCTTTTGTTAACAATATAATGTTTACCAATATAAGCTGCCGTATATAGTGCCCCAGGTGGTACTACATCCATTACTTCCATTAGACAACAACCAGGTATAGCTATTGATGTTCCCGTTAAGTGATATACTTTAAGCCTGTTAAATAATGCAACATATTTGATGAAAGGAAATGAAAATACAGTTTCATAAATACTGGAACTTTCAGGCTGGACTTCAGCATTTTTTTTTATAGTTGAACAATATCGGCGATATATGGTATTGCAATTTCTGCTTCCTATCAATAACCTTAACATGTTCTCTTAATTAACAGTTAGTTAAATTAAATAATTGGATATTTTATATAACCCTATCCACAATAATAATCGGACGCCCAGATGATTTTGACGTAAAGTCTTATCTCATAATGTCAAAGAACCTTTTTTTCGTCCGATATCCGTTAATGTCTATGATCAAGTCTATGATACGAAGTCTTGTGAAACCAATTATTTTAAATAAAAAATATTATTTTTATGTTTTAAGATAAATTAATATTACTTATTCTTTTTATTTTCTGTATATTCTAAGTATCTTTTAATTTATTTGATTCTGTGTCTCGACCTGAGACTTTCATTGCCTAGACAAGTCTGTTGACTCTGACTCCAATGACAGATGTTAGATGTCAAAGTCAAAGTCATGCACTGCTTGAAGTGAGCATGTTGGTTGTTGTTTTGCGACGGCATGGAATTTTCGAAGTGAATACAAAACTACAAAATGAACAATTTATTAAAAGAAATGTGAGTATAAATTACTTTATTTGATGTATGTACGTGAATTATGTAATGAGAGATGTAACAAGTATAGAGTACATTAAAAAAGTGCTGTTCTAGGTGTCTGTTATTAAAAAATAACACGCGAAATAAGACCTGAATAGTTGAATAGAAATAGTAGCTATAACAATACTTTGATTTGTTATGAAAAATATTACCCACTATTTATATCTGTGAATAACATTCATAATTCTTTCGCAAAGTTCATAAATCACATGTTTTTGTTAATAGGTTACTTGCCATCGGACCAATTCACTGAAAACATGTAAATAACAAGAATGTTTAAAAGTAGTTATATTACTCTATTTATTGTTCTAGTACATTACTATTAATTTTAATTTAATGTGTTTCAGTTATGAAAAAACTGCAGATTACACTGCATTTTATACCGGCGGAGATGTACAGTGGACATCAGATGGTGTTCATCTTCTTTGTCACTGCGATGATGTCATCAAAGTGGTTGATGTCAACACATTCTCTACTAGCCACACCATTGCACAGACTGACGAAGATGCTGAATCAGATCAAATTTATACTTTTCAAATGTCCCACGATAACAAATCAGTGGTAACTGCACACAAAAGTGGATTGATGAAGCTATGGGATCAAGAGACCGGACAGCAGCAGAAGATTTGGAGGTCTGGCCACAAAGGCCCAGTTGCCAAAATAGCATTTGAACACACAGATGAAAATATTGCTTCAGGTGGTTCTGATGGCAACATAAGGTTGTGGGACCTTGCACACAATACTTGCACAAGTAGTTTGCGAGGCGCAGTTGGAGTATTTTCTGTTTTGAAATATCATCCAGATGCAAACAAACAATTAATTTTTGGAGCAGCTGATGACACTAAAATCAGATCATGGAACTCAAAAACTGGCAAGGAACATTTAATCTTTTCAGGACATTTCAGTAAAATCACTTCACTGCAGTTTACTTCAGATGGAGAACACATGGTCAGTTCTGGTAGAGATCGAGTATTAATATTGTGGAGTTTAAATGAAAGCAAAGCACTTAGAGTTGTTCCTGTATATGAAAGTATAGAATCTACTATTCTATTGCCTGCAACATTTAAAATACCTAATTTTAAGAAGAAACTTGAGACAGAAGGGATATATGTTGCTTGTGCAGGAGAGAAAGGTGTTGTCAAAGTATGGAATATGTTAATGAGCCGACTCATGTTTGAACAAAATAATAGTCTTGTGTCTCCAGCAGCTGAGGAGGGTGGTTTGGCTGTAACACACTTGCTTTTTAATGAATTACGAAATGTCCTATCTGTTGTCACAGCAGATCACAACATTATCATTCATGATCTTGAAACATTTGAATGTAAAAAGCAGTTAATTGGTTTCACTGATGAAGTACTAGATATTATATTTCTGGGAAAAGATGAAACACATTTGGTGGTAGCAACCAACAGTCCTGACTTGAAGTATTATGAAATTGATAGTATGAACTGCCAAATTGTAAAGGGACACACAGATATAGTCTTGGCTCTTGCTCGCTTCCCAACTAAACCTGAAATGTTTGTGTCTTCAGCTAAAGATAATTCTGTAAGACTTTGGTTACAAAACCCTGACAACAAAATATCTTGCATTGGAGTTGGAGCTAGACATACAGCATCTGTTGGATCTGTGTTTGCCTCCCAGTCATCAAATGATTTCTTTGCATCTGTAAGCCAAGACAATTGTTTAAAAGTTTGGAATGTCCCTAAGGAACTTGCAGGTGACCAAAAAATTAAATCTTCTTACACAGAACTGGCTCATCAGATGGATATCAATTGTGTATCCATATCACCAAATGATAAAATGATTGCTACTGGATCACAGGATAAAACTGTCAAACTATGGTCAGAGGAGTTGACATTACTAGGTGTACTTAAAGGACACAGAAGAGGTATTTGGTGTGTCAGATTTTCGCCAGTAGATCAAGTAGTCCTGACGTCTTCAGCAGATACTACAATAAAATTATGGTCTATATCTGACTTGAGCTGTCTTAAAACTTTTGAAGGACATGAGAGTTCCGTTCTCAAAATTGAGTTTGTGAGTAGAGGACAGCAAATATTGTCAAGTGGAGCCGATGGATTACTCAAACTTTGGAATATAAAAACATCAGAAAGTAAAATGTCCCTAGATAATCATGATGGCAAAGTGTGGTCTTTAGCAGTTAGTAAAGACGAATCAATAGTTATCACTGGTGGGTCTGATTCAAAGTTAGTGAAGCTCAAAGATGTAACTGCAGAAAAAAGATTACAGTTAGCTAAGGAAAGAGAAGAAATGATACTACAAGAACAGGAATTAATGAATTTGTTACATGATAAACAATTAATTAAAGCTCTGAAATTAGCACTACGAATGCAAAGGCCAATGCATGTTTTGAAAATAGTTAATGAAGTTCTTGCTGGTGGAAACGAAAAGCTTTATGAAACCCTTAAAGAAATCAACCATACTCAAAAAGAAACTTTATTAAAGTTTGCTGCAGAATGGAATACAAATAATAAGAACTGTCATGCAGCACAACTCGTATTTAATATATTAGCACCCGAAATTATTGCAGGAAACTTAAAAGTGCCTGCCTTAGCTGGTTTTATTGAAGGTGCATTGCCCTACACTGAAAGACATTTTGAAAGATTAACAAACTTACTTCAAGATCTTAACTTTATAACATACACTGTGAATTGCATGCAACCTCATGCTGTTAATAATGTGTAAGTAAATAAAAAATAAAGGGTCCATGTGCAAAATTTTTAATTGTTTAATTTACCTTATGTCTACTCACAACATAGTTAACCGTATTTATCTGTTTTAGAGTGTAACCTATGACGCATGTTAATATTTCTCTTCAAACAAAGCTTGCGAAATGTTAATTTGCTTGTTCTGTGTATAAAAGCTCAGATACTAGAGCGTCAGCGCACGCGCAGCCTTTTTCCACGGAGAGCAAGTTCAAGCTGCGTGAACGCAGTAGTAGTGAAACGATCACGCGAAGCGGACCGCTCGCGGATCCGCGCTTACATTTTCCGCGAGTCGCAAATGTTTAGTTTTTAAATCATGGATATTAAAATCTCAATTGCTTTAACATTACTTTTAACAATTTGCTATCAAGCACAAGGACAGAAAACGCAAATGTAAGTAACTTCTTTATCTATACTATTTTGTCTTAGCAATGTTTACTTGCAAAAACACGTTTTCAATAAAATTCTTATTATAGATACGTATTAAAGACCATACTTCTTAGTCACCGGGATAGGACTCTGTCATAAGTTAATGCCAGGGATTTACCGAACACATATTTTACTTCTAGAAACGATGTTTCAATCTTCACTTAACTATTATGTTAGCACACTAATCATACTGCATATGTGGGTACCTCTTATTACTGAAAAAGGTACTTCTGTCTAAAGTATCTAAAGATCTGCAAAATTACAAAACGATATTTTAAATTTAGTGTGTAATTTTATGTTCTTCGATACACATCACTTCAACCTAACTACTTTAATCGATCATCACAATATTAATTAATGAGTCATTGTAATTTAAGCGTTCAAAATAGGATCAGTTCTTACCGTAGGTACCGGTAATCATGGATTTGAGACAATTAAAATCGTACGAATGTACGTCTCAGTTTTAAATTGAAGTGTATCAAACGAACAGAAGGTAGGTAGGTAACAGATACATTACTGTTAGATCAAACTGATTTTAAATAGTGTATGAACAATGGGCAGTAGAAATACATATAAGTATATCAGTTATTCGTCGTAACCGAAGCTGATAATTCAATGGCTAAATAAAATGTTGTTAAAAATAATTATGATACTTACGTGTGTATTCTATATAGTATAGGTAGGTGGGTATTGCTACCCCCAATAGAATTTAAGTTCTACAGAGTTAAAATAGCAGCAAAAGTTATCACTGCAAAATGCTGGTTGGAGTATTTTGCAGTTATACCTTACCTATGTGTGATATCCTAAATGTATTAGGTACCTGTGTACCCATGTATAAAGTCTTGGGTAGACCAAATAAGGTTCTGTTTAGGATTCCTGAGACGTAAAGACGTCGAAATGTCGTCAACCAGCCTTGGCCGCGGCCCTCAAATACTTTCGACCTCGATTGAACGATTGAGCACTTACTAGACGGAATAAGAAAAACTGTTAAGTAACTTTGTATTATGGAACTAAAGATAGTTAATTATATTAAAATACCGGTATCTTTTTCACCAGTAGATACAGAACATACCTATCTAAACTACTATAAGGAGAGAGTCAACATTAAAGAGTTCCAAAAATTATGGAATTGTAGGTATTGGTATGGACAGATTGGACAGTCACCTTTAAAAAGGGACCTTAGAAAGTAACTATAAATTCTAAAATCGTCTAATTACCTACATAATACTTACCTATACTGTCTACCGTAAGTAGGTAGGTATATCGTAAAGCTTACCTTTATAGTTAGGTACCTAAGTACTGTATTGACTGACAATTGCAGCATGCATTAGCTTGCAAGATATCTAAACACTACAATACCTTTTCTTTAATTTTATTTAGGTAGGTATCTAGATAGAATAATAAGTAACTATCTACCTATATCATGTTTTTTGTCGAAAGCTACGATTTTTGATATTTTCTTAAATAGCTCGAAAGCTACGACATAGTTACCTAACTATACTTAGGTACCTAGACAATATTATTACAATTGTGTAGTATTATCTATTTGAATCTTTAAAGACAAGATGTTTCTACTTATACTTTTACTTGTATGTTTGTAAATGCACCCACGATACAGCAGAAATTCCTAATGTGGGGAAATGCTTAAAAAAAAAAGCATTTCAATGGTTATAAAACTTACTGAAAACTTACTGAAACTTACTTATCCAATTTCTAACTTTTTTACCGACTTCTTAAAGTTAAAGTTCCAAGAGGGTACGATTTGCGAATCGGAGGTAGACCTAGCTCAAAGTTGCAAAAAGTACCTAATATTGCCGAGGTATCGTGACCATTCTTCAAGCCTAAATATTGGTGGTCAGCAGATCCTAATAAGAAGCAGTTGTAATAATCAAATCATTTCAATTTAGTGAAAGTGATGATTAATTATATTTTTCATAAAATTCAATATCTCCCTCCCATCGAAGTCATTGAGACAATTTTATCAATAACATTACAATCAGGAATTATCCGTATCTACTTTTTGAATAAAACCATGAAGGGCAGTAGGACAAGAGATGCAAAGAGAATGAGAGAGGTAACAGGCAACATCTGCCATCTACTACGCACACATTCCTAAAGAAATAAGTCATTAATTTGTATGAAGACTGGCTGACTGTATAGTGCAACTGCCGAGGAAGCGGTCTCGGTTCCGATTTCCGGGTCGGACAAAAGTTTTTGGAAATTTCGCATTGATAGCAATAGACTCAAGTGTGTGGGTTAAAGAAGATATAACCATGGTGTATGACAATGTGTCTATTGTTATTTCAAATCTTCATTTTGACGTAGCAATCTACTTAATACTACTACATGTTACACATTTGAGTAGTAAGCACTTAATAATGCATCATTTGGAAGTTTATATTCTCATTTTCCTTATTTTATGCGCACTTAAGACATCGCCTGAGTACCCCGACTTCTGTAGGCCTATGTAGAATTACGGACAAGTGGCACAGTACCTTTGCATTGGAAATACCAGCTACTGTATTTTAATTGAAGTGCTGATAAATCAAAATTACGTAAGTACTTTTAAAGGGGCTTACCGAAGTAATTTGTCATTGTTTTTGTAATTATTCTCTAAAGAGTAATTAATCAATTAGTTGCAAAGTAAAATGTCTGAGGATTTGTAGGTTCCTTTAAATATCTTTACCAGATAGATTAGGTACGCTCTCCATAGCGAAGCTCGATTAGGCTAGAATGAGCTAGATATTTGCATACTATGTATCACATGAATGCTTAATCGGTCTTTGTCGCTCAAACATGACTTGTAGACTAATTAAATTCATTATTAAATGTGTAGAGTAGATATACCGGCACTCAGTAGACTACCCTTTCGATGTTTCTCTTTCCAGATTATTTATACTCAGGTTATCTTGTAAGAGTTCGCCATTAAGTGATTGGTAGGTACTGTGATAAAGCCGCCCATGGCGTCTTTCATTTTAAGAGCATTGTAACTCCATTCTTTTTATCCAATGTGACAGAAACGGAAAAATGAAAAGAGAATATAGTGTGCGAGACCTATCTACCTATATCTACCAACACATGTCGTAAATTACGACATGTGTTGGTAGAAATAGAATACTTAGTACAAATTAAGCTTTGGTAAGCACAGCATAAGTTTTTTCATTAATTCGTTATACATATAAGAACTTTTCCTTTGATTGTATTCCTGAAAGAGGTAACTGAAACTTAACAAGGAACAACGTAACTAACGTTAATGCAGGTAGTTCGGTAAGTAGGTACTTAGGTACGTGTTGTTCTGCATTCTAATTTAGTTTTTTATATTTAGCGAACCAAGCTCCTAGGGGATGGCCTTCGCATAAAGTGATTTCGCGACATTGTCAGCTGATATCTCCACCACTCGAGTGCAGGAAAAGTGCCTGTTTTCTGTCGTGCCGGCTGTCAGCATTTGTTCCTATTGTATTAATAATGATCCATGGTCACGAAGGCTACCCTACCCATTAACAGATTCATTATGAATAGGCAATTATTACAGTTACTTGGACAAAATAATACTAAGTACTCAACGATCCTTACGTTTTCCTTAATTTAATTGTATTGTTATTTAACCCAAACAGATTTTAACAATTGAAATGCATTATCTACGAACTGTTTGTTAGGTGAAATTCTTCATTTTAGAACTTTATCCTCGGATTAATTAGCACGCGTGTTAATCAGATTATCTGTACATCATAAGCTCTTAATTACGTGTAGGTACCTATCTAGTAACGTCGCGTCGCCGACGTCCCCTAATGACCCGAAATGTTTTATTAACCGATGTATAATCATAACACCGAACAAAGAGAATGTAGCGTGGATTTTGATAATCTCTATCTTAACAACTAGAACTTACATACTCTTTAGATAGATGACAATTTTAATATAGGTGATACCTAGATAGATAGGTAACTAACACTTTAGTAGAAAACATGAACGAGTCCTAATGAATGCGACGACTTTGAAACCATCGCTGTATCGTGACGTTGGGCTGAATGACTTTCAGCCTGTGGAAGATTGCATTGTGTCCATGTTTACCTCGATGTAATATCGGTCACTATCGGCCTAAGTCATCTTTGAAAACAATGCAGCATGTTTTAGTCCGAGTTTCATTACTAGAATTTAATTGTAAAATAATAAAACCAGAAGACATCCGCTGTTGGTTACAGGGTTACCGGGTTGCCGGGGCTCCGACTCGAAGTGTAGGAGTAGGAACGGGGTGGTTTTTAGTCAGTAAGAGTCTGACACTCCCCCCCGCCTTACCCAGGCGGGAGAAGTCTTTCGATGATATTCCTCCTTTAAAAAAAACCTCCCTGACAACGATGTCAGGGAGGTTTAGAATTATAGGTATAGAAAATATGAATACGAATCCATATTTGATAATTCTCACGCTTGATAGGTAGTCTGAGGACTTTGGTTCGCAATTAGGTTCATAATTGAGTTAAATCAAATTATTTTCTAGCTTAGTAACTGTGTTTGACTAAATGTAAACAATAATAGTGATAGATATTTATTTATAACTTGGACGAAATTAATTATGATTGTTTTGTAGATGTTTTGTTAAGCACCTGCATTTCTCGGGTAAATATGTGACGATAGAGATAACGTTTTGAAGTATCTGACAGACAGATGGTATCAAGATTCTACCTACCTATATAGGTAAGTGGGTAAATCTTTTATACAACTTTATAAGTAAACTAAACTATACTAGTTTTAACCCGTGGATTTGTACGAATTCCATGTATCTTCTATTTGTATTCCTAGGTTATTTCTTATTGGTAACGAATAGGTCGAAATATTTTTATCAATTGATCGAAAATACTCGGATTAGCTTAAATTATTGAAGCTTAATTAAAAAAATACACAAATCATTTCAAATATCTCTACTTTACCATTATGTTAACAGAATCAAGTTGTTCAGCAGTTGGACT